GACTAGTATATAGTCTATAGCCTAGTCTATAGTGTCGTCTAGACTATAGCCTATAGTCTAGTCTATAGTCTAGTCTATAGTCTAGTATATAGTCTAGTCTATAGTCTAGTCTATAGTCTAGTCTATAGTCTAGTCTATAGTCTAGTCTATAGTCTAGTCTATAGTCTAGTCTATAGTCTAGTCTATAGTCTAGTCTATGGTCTAGTCTATAGTCTAGTGTATAGTCTAGTCTATAGTCTAGTGTATAGTCTAGTGTATAGTCTAGTGTATAGTCTAGTGTATAGTCTAGTGTATAGTCTAGTGTATAGTGTAGTCTATTGTCTAGTGTATAGTCTAGTCTATAGTCTAGTGTATAGTCTAGTCTATAGTCTAGTGTATAGTATAGTCTATGGTCTAGTCTATAGTCTATAGTGAGTCTATAGTTAGTTTATCTATCTATCTATCTATCTATCTATCTATCTATCTATCTATCTATCTATCTATCTATCTACTATCTAATCTATCTATCTATCTATCTATCTATCTATCTATCTATCTATCTATCTATCTATCTATCTATCTATCTATCTATCTATCTATCTATCTATCTATCTATCTATCTATCTATCTATCTATCTATCTATCTATCTATCTATCTATCTATCTATCTATCTATCTATCTATCTATCTATCTATCTATCTATCTATCTATCTATCTATCTATCTATCTATCTATCTATCTATCTATCTATCTATCTATCTATCTATCTATCTATCTATCTATCTATCTATCTATCTATCTATCTATCTATCTATCTATCTATCTATCTATCTATCTATCTATCTATCTATCTATCTATCTATCTATCTATCTATCTATCTATCTATCTATCTATGTAGCGTCTGGCTAAGTGTCTAGTTAAGTTTCCCATCAAGTTTCTATTACGGTTTACTGTTTAGTCTCAAATCTTCTCACCACTCTAGTCTGCAGGCCGTAATATTTTCGCAAACTAATATTGCCCAGGAATAGGTCATGTATATAATGGAAAATGTTGCCTACTTATTTTAAGAAATTATTCTTTAAAGTATAAAAAAATTGCAGGAAGATTTAAAACTAAAAAGCAAAAATTTATAACTTTCTAACGAAATTATTATTACTCTTGACATTAGGACTTTGCAAAAACCAATACTCTTCAATTAAAGATAATACATTTTCCCCCTTGATAATTATTTTATTAGAACTGTGATTTTAAAAGATATTAATCATTGCTTATTACATAGCCCTTATAACCTTTGCTTAACGTCATATTTTTTGCTTTAAATATAGAAAAAAAAATGTTAAAAAAGGGTTAATTATCATTACCTAAACATTTTTGCAATAATCTTTAATATATAATTTTATATGCGAAGCATGTTACATTACACACCATTTACTTTTAGTTTTAATTCGAAAAACTAAGTAACTAAATTGTAAATCATGGTAGTTATAAAATATAATTAACATGTTTTTTTATTTGTGTTATAATTTTATAATTATATAGTGAAATGGAAAAAAAAGTTAATTAAAAAATTATTACCTATTACTGGCGGGTTTTATATAATAAAAAGTTGTTTTATTTATAATTTCTACAGAAAATTTAAAAGTCAAAAAGTTAAATTGTATCGCTTTATAAAAGTTTATCATACAAAAACATCATATTGGCATCACTGCTTAAGGACAAATGATTATCCTCTTCTTCTTTTATTGTTGTCATTCAACAGAGTATGACAGTCTTCGTTTAATTTTAAAATATTGCCGTTTTCTGTCAATAATTTGCTTAGTTGATATTATTCAAACTATTAAACTTTTTACATAATTCTTAAACAATTTCCGGATAATGCTCTTTAATAAATATTTAATTACTTTTGTTTATTTATGATATGAATAACATTTCCAGATAAACATCAATTAATATAAAGTTTAGGTCATCAGTAATTACATGGAAAAACGGGTTGACTTTCAATTAGTTTACAGATATAAAAAACTTTAATCGAATACAAATCATCCTATTTTGAAATGAATGATGATATATATATAAATAGATAGATATATTTATATATAGATAGATAGATAGATAGATAGATAGATAGATAGATAGATAGATGATAGATAGATAGATAGATAGATAAATAGATAGATAGATAGATAGATAGATAGATAGAAAGATAGATAGATAGATAGATAGATAGATAGATAAGATAGATAGATAGATAGATAGATAATAGATAGATAGATAGAATAGATAGATAGATAGATAGATAGGATAGATAGATAGTTCTAGTTCATTTCTATATCAGTTCTGGTTTCTGTTGTAAGTTTCAGTTTCGAGTCAGTCAGTATAGTTCTAGATTCCAGGCGTCTAGTTCAGTCTACTTCAGTTCTAGTTCAGTTCTAGTTCAGTTCTAGTGTTCGTTCAGTTCAGTTCTAGTTCAGTTCTAGTTCAGTAGTTCAGTTCTAGTTCAGTTCTAGTTCAGTTCTAGTTCAGTTCTAGTTCAGTTCTAGTTCAGTTCTAGTTCAGTTCTAGTTCAGTTCTAGTTCAGTTCTAGTTCAGTTCTAGTTCAGTTCTAGTTCAGTTCTAGTTCAGTTCTAGTTCAGTTCTAGTTCAGTTCTAGTTCAGTTCTAGTTCAGTTCTAGTTCAGTTCTAGTTCAGTTCTAGTTCAGTTCTAGTTCAGTTCTAGTTCAGTTCTAGTCAGTTCTAGTTCAGTTCTAGTTCAGTTCTAGTTCTAGTTCAGTTCTAGTTCAGTTCTAGTTCAGTTCTAGTTCAGTTCTAGTTCAGTTCTAGTTCAGTTCTAGTTCAGTTCTAGTTCAGTTCTAGTTCAGTTCTAGTTCAGTTCTAGTTCAGTTCTAGTTCAGTTCTAGTTCAGTTCTAGTTCACTTCTAGTTCACTTCTAGTTCAGTTCTAGTTCAGTTCTAGTTCAGTTCTAGTTCAGTTCTAGTTCAGTTCTAGTTCAGTTCTAGTTCAGTTCTAGTTCAGTTCTAGTTCAGTTCTAGTTCAGTTCTAGTTCAGTTCTAGTTCAGTTCTAGTTCAGTTCTAGTTCAGTTCTAGTTCAGTTCTAGTTCAGTTCTAGTTCAGTTCTAGTTCAGTTCTAGTTCAGTTCTAGTTCAGTTCTAGTTCAGTTCTAGTTCAGTTCTAGTTCAGTTCTAGTTCAGTTCTAGTTCAGTTCTAGTTCAGTTCTAGTTCAGTTCTAGTTCAGTTCTAGTTCAGTTCTAGTTCAGTTCTAGTTCAGTTCTAGTTCAGTTCTAGTTCAGTTCTCGTTCAGTTCTAGTTCAGTTCTAGTTCAGTTCTAGTTCAGTTCTAGTTCAGTTCTAGTTCAATTCTAGTTCAGTTCTAGTTCAGTTCTAGTTCAGTTCTAGTTCAGTTCTAGTTCAGTTCTAGTTCAATTCTACTTCAGTTCTAGTTCAATTCTAGTTCAGTTCTAGTTCAATTCTAGTTCAGTTCTAGTTCAGCTCTAGTTCAGTTCTAGTTCAGTTCTAGTTCAGTTCTAGTTCAGTTCTAGTTCAGTTCTAGTTCAGTTCTAGTTCAGTTCTAGTTCAGTTCTAGTTCAGTTCTAGTTCAGTTCTAGTTCAGTTCTAGTTCAGTTCTAGTTCAGTTCTAGTTCAGTTCTAGTTCAGTTCTAGTTCAGTTCTAATTCAGTTCTAGTTCAGTTCTAGTTCAGTTCTAGTTCAGTTCTAGTTCAGTTCTAGTTCAGTTCTAGTTCAGTTCTAGTTCAGTTCTAGTTCAGTTCTAGTTCAGTTCTAGTTCAGTTCTAGTTCAGTTCTAGTTCAGTTCTAGTTCAGTTCTAGTTCAGTTCTAGTTCAGTTCTAGTTCAGTTCTAGTTCAGTTCTAGTTCAGTTCTAGTTCAGTTCTAGTTCAGTTCTAGTTCAGTTCTAGTTCAGTTCTAGTTCTAGTTCAGTTCTAGTTCTAGTTCAGTTCTAGTTCAGTTTACTTCAGTTCTAGTTCAGTTCTAGTTCAGTTCTAGTTCAGTTCTAGTTCAGTTGTAGTTCAGTTGTAGGTCAGTTGTAGTTCAGTTGTAGTTCAGTTCTAGTTCAGTTCTAGTTCAGTTCTAGTTCAGTTCTAGTTCAGTTCTAGTTCAGTTCTAGTTCAGTTCTAGTTTAGTTCTAGTTCAGTTCTAGTTCAGTTCTAGTTCAGTTCTAGTTCAGTTCTAGTTCAGTTCTAGTTCAGTTCTAGTTCAGTTCTAGTTCAGTTCTAGTTCAGTTCTAGTTCAGTTCTAGTTCAGTTCTAGTTCAGTTCTAGTTCAGTTCTAGTTCAGTTCTAGTTCAGTTGTAGTTCAGTTGTAGTTCAGTTGTAGTTCAGTTGTAGTTCAGTTGTAGTTCAGTTCTAGTTCAGTTCTAGTTCAGTTCTAGTTCAGTTCTAGTTCAGTTCTAGTTCAGTTCTAGTTCAGTTCTAGTTCAGTTCTAGTTCAGTTCTAGTTCAGTTCTAGTTCTAGTTCTAGTTCAGTTCTGGTTAAGTTCTAGTTCAGTTTTAGTTCAGTTCTAGTTCAGTTCTAGTTCAGTTCTAGTTCAGTTCTAGTTCAGTTCTAGTTCAGTTCTAGTTCAGTTCTAATTCAGTTCTAGTTCAGTTCTAGTTCAGTTCTAGTTCAGTTCTAGTTCAGTTCTAGTTCAGTTCTAGTTCAGTTCTAGTTCAGTTCTAGTTCAGTTCTAGTTCATTTCTAGTTCAGTTCTAGTTCAGTTCTAGTTTAGTTCTAGTTCTAGAAATTCGAGCGATAGGATACTACGATACAACGAAGGGATACAACAAAGAAAGTATACTTCGTTAGCATACGATATACATATGTATACCTCAGTATAGGATATGCTATTAATCAAAATCATATAAAACTTTCCATTAAGTATATTACCTTTGCCTACTATATAAAATTTTGATTGTATAATTATTAACTAATTATTTTTTTTTTTTCTGTAATTGTATAATATTATTAAAAAATTATTAATTATTTTGATTAAACTTTTTTTGCATTTTTTGTTTTTCTATACATTTCAGTTTTTTAAATGCTCCATTGCTGTTGGAAATTATTGTTTATAAAAACTCGTAAAAATTCTCTAAATATTTTTAATTGTTTAGAGTTTTTTGTTTGAATTCGTAATGAATCACTTTAATGCTGTAAACACGTTTTTATAATTCCCTAATCAAAAATACATGTATAAACAATATTTAAAAGGTGAATTCAAGCATTAAATGCAAATAAAAACAAAAACAGAAAAAACAACAAGCAAATAATATATAAAATTTCCTATAAATACCAAAAAAACATTCGCACCAAAAAACGGCTATAATTAAAACAAGCAACAAACAAACTTAACGGCCACACAGAAAAAGAAAAGGCGATTAAAATAACAATAACGTATGAAGTGCATGTGATGCTGAACAACAGCAGCAGCAACAATTAAGTGACATCAACTCTTTAAAAACTAGAGACACTGAAAAACTCCTACAAACTGTTTAGCAGAAAAATAGCCTTTTTTTGAGACATCATTTCTACTCATTATGGAACTGTCATCGTTTATAAAAGAGACAAAGGATGTTGAATTTCAAGATGTCTACTACACGGTGGAGATGAAGAAAAATTTTGGTAAGTAGAAAAGAAATTATGAAAAAACGATTATTAAGTAACGGATACATGTTAAATTTCATAAAAGCAACAAAATTTTATATTTTGAAAAAAGTACTTTTTCTACTACTTTTTTAAAAATGTTAAATTTTGCTATTTTTGGTTTAATTTTAACTAAAACCTAGTAAATTTTGTAAAAATAACGAAATTTTACAATTTGGAAAAAAGTACTTTTTCTACTACTTTTTTAAAAAATCTTAAATTTTGTAATTTTTTGCTTAATTTTTACTAAAACATAGTAAATTTCGTAAAAATAATGAAAATTTACCATTTTGAAAAAGGTACTTTTTCTACTACTTTTTTAAAATATCTTCAATTTTGCTGTTTTTTGCTTTATATCAACGAAAACACTGTAAATATGTCAAAAAATATAGATTTTTTTTAATTTTGATCATATTTGCAACACTCTGTAAAGGTACTTTTTCTACTACTTTTTTAAAAAATCTTAAATTTTGCTTAAAACAAAATGAAACATCATAAATATGTCAAAAATAACTAAATTTTATCATTTTGTACAAAATTGTAACATTATGAAAAAAGTACTTTTTCTACTACTTTTTTAAAAAATATTAAATTTTGCTATTTTCTGCCTTATACTAACTAAAACATTGTAAATTTCATAATTATAAAAAAATTTTGTAATTTTAAACGAAATTGTAACATTTTAAAAACGTACTTTTTCTGCTACTTTTAAAAAAAATCTTAAATTTAGTTCTTTTCTGTTTTTTACAAACCAAAACATTGCAAATTTTATAAAAATAATAAAATTTTATTTAAAAAAAGTACTTTTTCTACTACTTTTTAAAAAATCATAAATTTTGCTATTTTCTGCTTAATACTAACTAAAACACTGTAAATATGTCAAAAATAACTAAATTTTATCGTTTTAAAGAAAATTGTAAAATTTAAAAAAAGTACTTTTTCTACTACATTTAAAAAATCTTAAATGTTGCTATTTTTTGCTTAATACTAACTAAAACATTGTAAATTTCATAATTATAACAAAATTTTGTAATTTTAAACGAAATTGTAACATTTTAAAAAGGTACTTTTTCTACTACATTTTTAAAAAAATCTTAAATTTTGCTATTTTTCGCTTAATACAAACTAAGAAACTGAAAATTTAATAAAAATAAAATAAAAATTTTAATTTTTAACAAAAATGTATAATTTAAAAAAAATACTTTTTCTACTACTTTTTTAACATATTTTGCTTAATATCAACTTAAATACTTTAAATTTTGTCCAAAATAATTAAATTTAATCAGTTTTTAAAATTTTGAATAAGTACTTTTTCTACTGCCTTTTTTAAAAATATTAATTTTGTAATTTTTTGCTTAATATCAACTAAAACATTATACATTTTATAAAAAATAGCAAAATTTTATAATTTAAAAATAAAATACTTTTTCTACTACTTTTTTAAAAATCATAAATTTTGCTATTTTTCGCTTAATTTTAACTATAACCTAGTAAATTTTATAAAAATTTTGTAAATTTATGATTTTTAAAAAAGTACTTTTTGTTAGCAATTCAACTGCTCGATAATTTATTGCAACTTTGTACTTTGTCCCCTTGTATTTTATAGTATAAATATAATTAAGATTAAATTCCAAGAGCAATAAGAGATATTTATGTAATATTCTATGGAATTTTAAAAATTAATGATTATAAATTATGCATTAATTATTACTTATCAGTTAGCCGTATCACGTCTTCTATTTCTATTGCTTAACATTTACATAGAAACAATAACTTATAATAAATTTACACGTTTATTACAACTAATCGAAACAATACTTATTATAATTAATAATATTTTCCTAATAAGTCTAGAACTGATAATGTTCACATAATAATAAAGGTACTTTTAAAAGAAAACAACATATACCAAAGGTGATTAAAGTGAGGCAATATGGATTTGGCAACAATTTGAAAGTACTTTTTTACTACTTTTTAAAAAATTTAATTTTTTTCATAATTTTCACTTATACAAAGTAAATTTAAAAAAATAACGAAATTTTATAATTTTTAAAATAGTACTTTTTCTACTACTTTTTTAAAATCTAAATTTTTGCGATATTTGGCTTAATAAAAACAAAATTGCTGTAAATTTGTTCAAAATAACTAAATTTTATAATTTAGCACTAAATTATAACATTTTGAAAAAAGTACTTTTTCTACTACCTTTTTTAAAAAATCTTAATTTTTGCTATTTTTTGTATAATTTTAAAAAACAGAAAATTTTATGAAATTTTATAAAAATATTGAAAATTTATGAGTTTGAAGAAGTAATTTTTCTACTACTTTTTTAGAAATGTTAAATTTAGCTATTTTTGGCTTAATATCAACTATGCAGATTGTACAAAATAACTAAATTTCATAATTTTGAACAAAATTGTAACATTTTGAAAAAAGTACTTTTTCTACTACTTTTTAAAAAAGCTTCAATTTAGGTAATTTTAAGTTTAATATCAACTAAAACACTGTAAATTTATTCAAAATAACTAAATTCTACAATTTTGAACAAAATTTTAACATTTTTAAAAAAGTACTTTTACCCCTACTGTTTTAAAACTATTTAATTTAGATATTTTTGCCTTAAAATCAATTAAAATGCTGTAAATTTGTCCAAAACTTAGTCAATTTTATAAAAATATTGAAAATTTATGAGTTTTGAAAAAGTACTTTTCTACTACTTTTTTAAAAAATCTTAAATTTAGCCAATTTTGGCTTAATATCAGTTAAAACTCTGTAAATTTGTCAAAAATAACAAAATTTTGAACAAAATTGTGAAAAAAGTACTTTTGTATTATGACCTTTTTAAAAAATCTTAAATTAAACTATTTTTGGCTTAATACCAACTAAAACACTGTAAATTTGTCAAAAATAACAAAATTTTATCATTCTCAACTAAATTGTAACATTTTTAAAAAAGTACTTTTTTTACTACTTTTTTTAAAAAACCGTAAATTTTGCTATTTTTTGCTTAATGTCAACTAAAACATTGAAATTTTGTCCAAAATATATATATTTTATCATTTTGAATCAAATTGTAACATTTTCAAAAAAGGACTTTCTCTACTACTTTTTTAAAAAATCTTCACTTTAGCTAATTTTGGCTTCATATAACCTAAAACTCTGTAAATATGACAAAAGTAATGAAATGTTATCATTTTGAACAAAATTGTAACATTTTAAAAACAGTACTTTTCCTACTACTTTTTTAAAAAATCTTAAATTTATCAATTTTTGGCTAAATATCAACTAAAACACTGTACATATGTATGACACAAGTAACTAAATATTATCATTTTGAACAAAATTGTAACATTTTGAAAAAAGGACTTTTTCTACTACTTATTTAAAAAACAAAATAAAACACTGTAAAGTTGTCAAAAATAACAAAATTTTTTCATTCTCAACTAAACTGTAACATTTTTAAAAAAGTAGTAAAACTTTTTTAAAAAAAATCTTAAGTTTTGTTATTTTTTGCCTAATGTCAACTAAAAATTTCCTAATGTCCAAAATTTATACATTTTATCATTTTGAATCAAATTGTAACATTTTTAAAAAAGTACTTTTTCTACTACTTTTTTAAAAATCTTTAATTTAGATATTTTTGGCTTAATGTCAATTACAATACTGTAAATTTGTCCATAATAACTAAATTTTATCATTTTCAGTAAAATTGTAGCATTTTTAAAAAAGTACTTTTTTTTACTACTTTTTTAAAAAACCGTAAGTTTTGCTATTTTTGCTTAATGTCAACTAAAACATTGAACATTTTTTTCATGTCAACTAAAAATTTCCTAATGTCCAAAATTTATACATTTTATCATTTTGAATCAAATTGTAACATTTTTAAAAAAGTACTTTTTCTACTACTTTTTTAAAAATCTTTAATTTAGATATTTTTGGCTTAATGTCAATTACAATACTGTAAATTTGTCCATAATAACTAAATTTTATCATTTTCAGTAAAATTGTGGCATTTTTAAAAAAGTTTTGCTATTTTTGCTTAATGTCAACTAAAACATTGAACATTTTTTTCAAAGTTAATACATTTTATCATTTTGAATCCAATTGAAACATTTTCAAAAAAGTACTTTTTCTACTACATTTTTAAAAAGATCTTCAATTTAACTAATTTTAGCTTAATATCAACTTAAACACTGTAAATGGCACGAAAATAACTATATATTATTATTTTGTAGGAAATTATAGCATTTTAAAAAAAGTACTTTTTCTACTACTTTTTTAGAAATTATAAATTTTGCTATTTTTGTTTCAAATTTAACTAAAACATTGTAAATTTGTTAAAAATCATAAAAAATTATCATTTAAAAAAAAGTACTTTTTCTACTACTATTTCCAAAAATGTATTTTTTTGCTTAATTATAACTAAAACATTGTAAATTTTAAGAAAAATAATAAAATTAATTAGCAATACTCTAATATCTAATGACATTTCCTCTATAACTTAATCTTCAAACTCAATGCTAATCTTTTAAACTAATATTTCATTTCTTAAATTAATTTTTGCACAAACTTTGCAATTTTTAATTTCTAAAATGACCTTGTTTAGTCATCATCATAATTTCCGTTTAAAAAGCAAATCTTCTTTAATTATTTGCTTTGATTTTATTGTGTGCAAAAAACCGCAATAGAACTAGTAATAATCAATTAAACATTCAATAAATGTTTAAATAGTTTTTTTTTTCTTTGCAAAACTACAATAGCTAATCACTTAAAAAAAGAATGACGCTGCTTGTTTTGTTGTGTCAGCAAGTAATTGAAAAATCAGTAGTTTTAAAAAACTTGTTCTGACCAATTGACTGACAAGTGATAATTATATCCATGTTAGATGATTAGTAAAGATGCTAACAGGGCGATCATGATGATGATGATGTATTGTTGACACGTTTTATTAAGTTGTTAAATAAAGTCATGCTGATGAC